CAAGATAGCCATTCAAGAAGGCTGACTTGACATCTAGTTGATGTATCTTCCACTTCATTTGTGTCGCCAAAGAGATCAGCAAACGAATCGTCTCCATGCGGGCAACAAGTGCATAAACTTCTTCATAGTCAATGCCTTGCCTTTTCTTGTAGCCTTTAGCCACAAGTCGTGCCTTGTATNTCTTCTTCAAGATAGTCATTCAAGAAGGCTGACTTGACATCTAGTTGATGTATCTTCCACTTCATTTGTGGCGCCAAAGAGATCAGCAAACGAATTGTCTCCATGCGGGCAACAGGTGCATAGACTTCTTCATAGTCAATGCCTTGCCTTTGCTTGTAGCCTTTAGCCACAAGTCGTGCCTTGTATTTCTCCACATCTCCATCAGCATTCTTCTTTATTTTGTATACCCATTTCACTCCAATTGCTCGATGACCCTTGGGAAGAGTTGTTAACTCCCAAGTGTTGTTCTTCTCTATTGACTTGATCTCCTCCTCCATGGCTTGTCTCCACCTTTTGTCTGTAACAGCTTCATCAAAGTTCATTGGTTCATTGTTAGCAAAGAGACAATATAAAAAATCAAAATTAGTAACTTCTTCAGTGCCATCATAGATCTCTTGAATGCTCCTTGTCCTTTGCGGCTGTTCATTTGAACTTTTTGAGAAGATGGAGATGCAACATTTGTTGGAGAAGAAGGTGGAGTTGTGTCCTGCACAGGTTCCATGGTCTCCGGTTCTTCTTCATCACCAAAGTATGGAAGAAAATCATATGAAGTTTCTTCCTTAGCTTCCCAATTCCATGCAAGTTCTTCATCAAATTCAACATCACGACTTACCACCACCTTACCGCTGCTTGGGTTGTATAACTTGTAGCCTTTTGAACTTGTATCATAGCCAACAAACACATGCTTGACACTTCGATCGTCAAGCTTTGCTTTCCCTTGATGTGGCACATGAGCATAGGCTATGCTCCCAAAGATTCTTAAGTGCTTGACACTCGGCTTTCTTCCACTCCATGCTTCTTGAGGGGTTTGATCTCTAACATTTCTTGTTAGAGACCTGTTATTCAAATAAACTGCACAAGAAACAGCTTCGGCCCAAAATTCCTTAGGCATACTTTTAGCTTTCAACATACATCTAGCCATATTAAGAATCATTCGATTCTTTCTCTCTGCAACACCATTTGGTTGAGGTGAATAAGGTACCGTTAAAGGGCGACGAATTCCATGAAGTTGACAGAAGTCATTAAATTCGTTTGAGGTGAATTCCCCTCCTTTATCGGACCTTAGAGCTTTAATTTCATAGTCACTTTCTTTCTCTACAAGTACTTTGAAATTTTTAAAAGCAGCAAAAGCTTCAGATTTTTTGTTCAAGAAATAAACCCAAGTCTTTCTACTAAAGTCATCAATGAAAAAAATAAAGTATTTTCTTTTACCAAAAGAAGGTGGATTGATTGGTCCACACACATCAGTGTGGACAAGCTAGAGCATCTTGGTTGATCTTGACATGGCCTCCTTTGGAAAACTCCTCCTTGCATGTTTTCTAAGAAGACAAGCTTCACACAATTGATTTGGATGGTTGATTGATGGTATCCCATGCACCATGTTCTTTTCTCCCATTGATTTGAGCGCTTCAAAATTTAAGTGCCCAAATCGCATGTGCCAACACCATGATTCATCTTGCACATTAGCCTTCAAACACTTTGCATCAATTGTTTTAAGATTCAGAGAAAACAATCTATTCTTTGCCATATGCACTTTAGCAATTAGAATTCCACTTGAATCTCTAAGNTCATTATCTGGTTTTGCATACCCTCTGTCTACAATTTCCCACACATCCTGGGAGCCAAGAATGACTTTCATACGTAGACACCATTTCTCATAATTATCTTTTGTGAGACGGGGTTACTGAAAAGATAGCGGACCATTATTTGTCATGGCTCTGATACCACGTTGTTGGGATAAAATAAATAATCCCTCCCAGGAATAATATCCATAGCAAATAATAATAACACAAGAGAGTAACAATGACACCAAATATTTTAGCGGGATAAAAAACAATATCCGATATAGCAATATTACCACTATAATATTACAACTCAGTAGTGTCAAGAGACTACTACAACTTTGAAAGAAATAACACTCTTTATATAAAACATCTCACTACAATATTACTACCACTCACTAGTTATCTCACAGACAACAATCTGTTGATTACTCTCTCTAACTTCTATTGTTTCTCTCTTATTTTGGTGTATCTTAAAGGAGAAATGAAGCCTGCTATTTATAGGCACATTTTCACCAACCAAACCAATTTGATTGGTTAATCAATGTGCAAATTCTAGCAGCCCAATCTTAAAAAATCTGAATTTTTTTTTTCTTCCGTCCATCACTCCTCTTCCTTTTATTCAATGTAGTAGGTGAGTCAATCACTCCTCTTTCTTTTTCTTTTATTCAATGTAGTAGGTATGGACTCCACATAAATAGCCTACCCATTCAAATTTGTTTAGTTGCTTAAGTCTATTAATAAATCTATTCCAAGACAGTATCAAGTACCTTGACAGAGCAATTATAGGACTGGTTTGTCCTACAGCGCCAGTGTCAACTTGGGGGAAATTTATAATGACAACAACAGTAAGGATGGAATAAGCATAAACTTTTGGTCCTCTATGTTGATAATAATTGTGACTGGCGGAGGTTTTTGCTATCTTGAGGGATCACAGTTCTTTCTTAGTTTTTGGTTGATAATCTATGTTGTTAACTTGATTTCTGGATCAGTAAATTTTTTTTTTCAGCTAGACTAGAAGTTCCTTCTAATTCCTTTTAGATATTTGGAGCTATTCCTATTTGGAGTTCCATTTATCTTTCTTGAGCTGGGGGTCTACGGAATCAGTCACTCTACCTTCTTAAAGGTAGGGGTAAGGTCTGTATACACTACCCTTCTCAGACCCCACTTGTGGATTATACTTGATATGTTGTTGTTGTTTTTGTTGTTATCAACATCTTGTGTTATTTTTCATTTGATCTTCTCAAATAGAAACGATTTCAATGGGATACTGCAATTGAAGGTGCTATAAAGGATAAGTTTATGAGCAAATGTGCAGAACGATACAAGGGTATGTTATTTGAAGCAAGACTTGATGAGAAGAAGCGCAAACATATTCCAGTATCTATTTGGGAGAGCTGGAAGCCTCACTGGGAGACTGAGGCTTTTAAAGCCAAGTCCGTGTAGTGCTCAAAGAATCGGCTAAATGAGAAAGGTGGTGAAGGATCTGGTCCCTCATGCCATACAGGAGGCTCCAAAACTCACCGAGAACATGCAAATATACTGGTATATTCATTTTACTTTAGCCAAGTTATAATATCTCCAAAGCTAATCAATATGTATTAATATAGTAAATGCGATTTTCAATTTTAGGCTAAAGAACTAGTAATACTAGCACATCCACATGAGCTTCTGAGGACGACACACGTCAAGGCGAACAAGGAGTTTGTGGACCAGAAATCTAGGAGCACATATGTAAGTTACTACAACTTGACTGTCATTTCTTGACAAGTAAAAGTAAAGCATCTATCTTGGCTACTAGTTTTAGAAACGCAATCTAAATATAATAATAAAGGTTTCATGGTAAGTCATATACAAAGAAACTAACTTCTGGTACTTTTAATAAAGAAAAATATATTTCAGACTGCATTTTTCTCCTTTCAGTAGTATCTTTAGCTAATGAAGTAGCCTTCAATTCTGCAGTGACCTCTAAAAACATGAAGATGTGCTAATGAATTTATATTTTAGAAACTTTTTCTTATGTCTTTGACATCATCTTTTCCATGATTTTTTTTTCTGGTCGCCAGATGATTCATTGAGCTCTTTTAAATTTGTTTCTTGTAGAATTTTTGCATTTAAATGTGCTCATTTGTCCTTTGGATTTATAGAGTATAGATATTCCTCTAAGAAAGTGTTTTTGAATACAACAATTAGATCTACAGTGCATCTGCTTTATAAGGTATGTTGCCATTATATTGTTTATAATCTTTTCCCTTTTCCTTTTAAAGTAGTATACTATCTGTGTGATTGAAACTCCTCTGAGATTCATAACCACAGTCTTTATTAAGAATATTAGGTTCAACAACTGTGTCCAATACTTAGTTTTGATTTTTTAAAGGCATATGATCTTCTCTGCATTTCCTTTATGACTGATTATTCCCAGTAGTAGTAATTTTCTCTTTAGTAACCTTATAACCTAGCTTGCCCGATTCTTCATATAATTGTATCATAAAATAAGAGTGTAATACAACCTTTGTATGCTCCTTAACTAATTATTTTATCTATAGAATAACAAAACCTATTGGATTTCTGAAAAGGAGTTAGACTTCCATCTTACTTTACCTTTGATATTTTATAAATCTGCACATTTAAGCTATAGAACATGTCATTGTTGAAAATTGTTACTTCTTTATCTGAAAGTATAACAAGTTGATGACAAACAAGTAATGCAATTTGTAAGGAAAAGCACTGTTGTGTACATCAAAACAATTATTTTTAAGGTGTTGTTATTGACATTTAAGTTTTCAATTTCTATGTCTTGATGTTTTCTCTTTCAAGAGTTATTATAGAGTTTATATCATTTTTTTTTTGCTTTCAGGATTCCATAATATCTAAAATTGTGTCTGCGTCTCAACCTGAAGATAGGTCCAGTGAGCCTCTTGAAGTTGATTTCTTACAAATTTATTTGGACGAAGTCGGTGTTAAGAAGGCACACATTTATGGTCTTGGTTCTCAAGCTCTTTTCTATGGGCATGTTGGTGCATCCTCCAGTTCGAAATCTCCGCTTCAAGATCTAGACTTTAATGCTCGGGTGAATGAATGTGTCGGACATCGTTTGCAAGAAATTAAAGAAGAGATGAAGCATGAGATGAGATCAGAGATCAAAGATCAGAGAAGAGATTAGCCAAGAAAAGAGAGAAGAAATACGTAAAAAAATGAGACATGAAATGCAACAAGAGGTGCGTGAGCAAGTTGATCAACTACTCTAAAACTGTCTGTCGATCCTCATAGGTGGCTTACCTACACCGCCTTCTCTTAGGCATGGCTCGTTGTCAAATAATGACACGAGTAATATTTAGATTTATTTTAGCTTCTTTTATGTTAGACACGTTTCGGATTCTACTTTCAACTTCATGACAGATATTATTATTATTATTTATAAAGTGCTATTATGTTTTTTGTTCTATTTAAGTGTTTTTTAGATCTTTTAATGCTTTAAATTAATAGTAATACAATTATTAAAAATAAATTTTTTAATATACCCATTAATTTGTAACATTTGGTAACACATTTACAATTTGTTAGTAAATTTTATGACAAGTTACTAACAAATTACAAACTTAATTTTTAAAAATAAATAACCATATTTCCTAACGAATTTGATATTTGTTGGTAAATTACCAACAATTTACTAAACAGAAATTTTCCATAAATAAAATTACCAACCGATTACCAATATATTTTTTAAATTATACTATCGGATTTACCAACCAAGTTGTTATCCGTTATTATAGTTGCTAACGGAAAACTAACGAAATTTTTCTTGTTACTATATTTACCAACGGATTACAAACACAATTTTCTATCTGTTAGTAAATTACTAATGGACTTCCAACCGAATTTTGGTTTTCCGGCCAGTTGTCTCATGAGTTACCGCTCTGTTTCCCTCATTTCTGCTTCTTATTGCTCTATTTATCGGTTCTATGAGTGATCGAGTTGGTTGGCTCGGGTTCGGAAAGGATTTGGTAAGATTTGAGACACTTAGTCTCTTTTGAGGAAGCTTAAGTTGGAAAAGTCAACCGGATGTTGACTTATGTGTTAGAGGGCTCGTATGTGAATTCCGATGGTTCGGATAGCTTAGGGAGGTGATTTGGGACTTATGAGCGTGATCGGAACGAGTTTTGGAGGTTCATAGTAGATTTAGGCTTGAATTGGCGAAATTGGTATTTTAGTGATTTTCGGTTGATAGGTGAGATTTTGTTATAGGGGTCGGAATGGAATTCCGGGAGTTGCAGTAGTTCCGTTATGTCATTTAGGATGTGTGTACAAAATTTCAGGTCACTCAGACGTGGTTTGGTTGTGTTTTTATCAAAAGCGTAATTTAGAAGATTTTGGAATTCTTAGGCTTGAATCCGATGCAATTTGATGTTTTGATGTTGTTTTGAGCGTTCCGAAGATTGGAACAAGTTTGAATGATATTATGGGATATGTTGGCATGTTTGGTTGAGGTCCTGGGGGCCTCGGGTGAGTTTCGGGTGGTCAATCGGACCATTTCATGTTGTTGAAAATGGCAAAAAAAGCTGCTGAGTGTTGCAGAGAAATTAGACCTTCGCGTTCGCGAGTAGGTCTTCGCGTTTGCGAAGGATTAGCTAGTGAAAGCTGAAATTTTAACCTTCGCGTTCGCGAAGAAAGCTCCGCGCTTGCAAAGATTTGGATTATTGTACATCGCGTTCGCGAGGGAAGCTCCGCGTTCACGTAGAGGAAATTGGGCAACTGGGTTTAAGGTGTTTTGTTCACGCGTTCACGAGAGAGGGAGCGCGTTCGTGAAGAGCAGGCTGAGGAACCATCGCATTCGCTAGTGGCAAGACACGGTCGCGAAGAAGGATTTTTGGTCAAAGTTGGATTGTGCTTCGCGAACGCGAGGCATTGACCATGTTTGCGAAGAAGGAATTGAGGCCTGGGCAGAATGTTTAAATAGTCGTCTTGTCCGCGATTTTGGGGTTTATTTCTACCATTGTTGAGCGATTTTGGAGGTTTTTAAAGAGGATTGAAGAGGGATTCAAGGGGAAACACTTGGAGGTAAGATTCATGGACTCAATACTCGATTCTAATGTGAATTCTACCTAATTAATCATGGAGTTTAAGCCAAAAATTGAAAGATAGGGCTTGAAATTGGAGACTTAGAATTTAGGATTTGAGGGGTCGTTTGTGGTTGGATTTTGATGTTTTTGGTATGGATGAACTCGGGGAGTGATATGGAATCTATTAATGTAAATTTTATCGAATTTCGAGATGTGGGCCCGGGGGTCAGGTTTGGCCAATTTCGGGATTTGTGTTGTAATTTAATTTCTTTCGAGTGAGATTTTTTCCCTTAGAATATTTTGATGGTTTTTCACTGATTTTGGTTAGTTTTCGAGCATCCGGAGGTCGATTCGAGGGACAAAGGCATCGCGAGCTAGAGATTTGGACTAGGTAGAGGTGAGTAATGATTGTAAATATTGTCCTGAGGGTATGAAACCCCGAATTGCACATCATTGTGCTATATTGAGGTGACACACACTCTAGATGATGAGCGTGGGGTCGTGAACTATTTGAGTTTGTGACTTAGTCCACCCCGAATGATTGTTTTACCGCATATTTGACTGAAAACTATTTGCTATCATCATGTTTCGGGCTGAATGTCATATTTTGGCCTCGTGCCAAATATTTGAACCCTTGGGGGATTTTTATTGATATTTCCTCACTATTTTGACTTTATACTTGAACTCAGTCATGCTATATTCTACTGTTTTCATAACTCAGCCATGTCTACTATGCTTTAACACTTAAAATGATATTTTAAATGATCTTTTGGGCTGAACATCATGTTTTACTGTTGCCTGAGTGACTTGTAAGAATTTTGACTGAGTAAGGCCGAGAGCCTATGTTGTGAGGAAACACCTTATTATGATTATGAGGTCAAGAGCCTGAGATTTGCACACTCCAAAAGTCTGCACACTCCCAGTGAGTGCGGGTACCCATTGTGATGTGAGATATAACCCGAGGGGCTGGTATTGTTCTGAGATATTGCCCGAGGGGAAATCCTTTATGTGTTTATCTTTTTTAATTGCCTGTCCTTTACTTGCTTAATTGTTAAAAAGGCATTTTATGAAGTTTAAACTGAACTCAGTGATTTTACCCACCTTTACTGCTTCACTGTTTTTATTGGCTTTTGCTGCTTCCTTATAGCCTGTTATGTGCCTTGCGTGGTTTTATACTTCTCAGTCTTTATTTATGATTATTACTCACTAAGTTGGAGTACTCACTTTTCTCCCTGCACCCTATGTGCAGATTCAGGCATTGTTGATCCTGCTCACGAGGGTTTAGAGCTCCTAGCAGATTTCAGAGTTCACGAGGTAGCTGCTCGGCGTCCGCAGCCCCGTGTTCCCCCCCCCCTTTATCTCATTTCCTTTCCCTTATTAGTGACTTTGTAATAGCTTTGTAGATTTTTTAGATTGGTATTAGAATTGATAGATGCTCATGACTGGTGACACCACAGTATTGGGCTGTGTTGGGTTTGTTTTTCTACAAATTATACTGTTAACGGCTTATTTTGGGATTTTATCATGTTTAAGATTTAACACTTATTACTTTACTTGCTTAAAAATTGAAATGGGAATGTGTCGACTGGCCTTGTCTTCACGAGAGGCGCCATCATGACCGGATCCAGGTTTAGGATCGTGACAAGTTGGTATCAGAGCCTAGGTTATATAGGTCTCACGAGTCATGAGTAGTTTTAATAGAGTCTCGTGGATCGGTACAAAGACGTTTGTATTTATCCTCGAGAGCTTGCAGAACCTTTAGGAAAACTTCATATTCTTGAAATTCTTGTCGTGCGAGTTTGTTGATCCGAGTACTAAACTTCTGTTATTCTATTCTCTCATAGATGGTGAGGACACGTGCTACCGGTTAGGATGGAAGACCACTAGTGCCACCAGTTGTGGCCACTAGAGGCCGAGGACGTGGTCGTGGTGGCGGTAAAGGCAGAGGTGTGGCCCGCACAGCAGCTAGGGCAGCACTTGCAGATCCACCAGCCGCCCTAGTTCAAGATCAGGTTCCAGTTGTGGGCGCTCCAGCAGCACCATATCAGGTACCAGCTGTGCCTATTGTGATTCCGGATCTTTAGGAGGCCTTGGCTTAGATTCTATCAATTTACACTTGCCTAGCTCAGGTGGTCTCCGCTACTACAGCCGTAGTTACTTCTCAGGCCGGGGGAGGCACTCAGACTCTCGCCACTCGCACACTTAGGCAGGTCGTGTAGGGACTTCAGACATCGGGGGCACATCCAGCCCAGCCGGTTGCAGCTGCTCAGGACTATGTAGTTCCTAACATGCCGGAGGATGAGCAGCATAGGTTGGAGAGGTTTGGTATACTTCGGCCTCCGACCTTCAGTGGTGCAGAGGGCGAGGATGCCCAGGGTTTCTTGGATAAGTGTCAGAGGATGCTTCGTACAGCGGGTATTCTGGAGACCAGCGAGGTCGCTTTCACGACTTATCAATTCTCTGGAGCCGCCTTCACTTGGTGGGGAGGCTTTTGAGAGGCGTAGGCCTGTTGGTGAAGCACCCCTTACCTGACAGCAGTTCTCCGTTCTCTTTCTGGAGAAGTATGTGCCACAGTCTCGCAGAGAGGAGCTGCGCTGGTAGTTTGAGTGGTTGCGTCAGGGAGAGATGACTGTGACACAGTATGAGATAAGGTTCTTCGAGTTAGCTCGTTATGCGATTTGGTTGATTCTGATAGATAGAGAGAGGATTAGGAGGTTTGTTGATGGCCTCACTTATCAGCTTCATATTCTTATGACCAAGGAGAGGGTGACTGGTGCAACCTTTGAGGAGGTTGTAGACATTGCTCGTGAGATTGAGTCTGTTCGTCGTTAGGAATGAGAGAAGAGGGAGGCCAAGAGACTTCGAGGATCTAGTAGTTATAGCGGTGCTCCTTCGAGAGGTCAGTTTCAGCATGGCAGAGGCCTTCCATTCAGGCATGCTCAGCCAGCTCGCCCAGGTTATCGTGGGGTGTCATCGGGTCATGGTTCTCATAGTTCTCACCAGGGCCAGTCATTACTTAGTTCCCTTCTAGCTTAGAGTTCCTCACGTGCACCATTAGTTTAGGGCTCTTCTATGCCAGGTGCATCATGTAGTCATTTCGGTGCTAGGGGTTCCCTTCAGTCCTTTCTCCAGCACCTGGGAGTTGCTATAAGTATTGAGAGATGGGTCATATGTGGAGGCAATGTCCTCGTCGTCTTGTGGGTTCATCTCAGCTGAGGAGTCAGCCATCGGCTTCAGCGCTAGTTACTTCCTCACCACCACCCACCTAGCCAGCTAGGGGTGGAGGACAATCAGCTAAGGGTCGCCCCAGAAGGGGGAGGTCGATCAGGTGGCGGTCACGCCCATTTCTATGCACTTCTAGTCAGACCCAATACTATTGCTTCAG